AGCTCCCTAACCTGAAGAGCCTGTGATGATGACAAATGGACTATGAAATATGGTACTATTTCTTGCCTTAACATTGACTGGCACACACCCAACAATGCCCCTTCCTTAAGTGTCTGCTCACATTTAGAGTAATTGGCCACTGTTATGGTTACTATTTGATGACCTGCCACAAGTGACCTTCCAATCTTCACATCCGTTGGCCTTCCACTACTTCCACAAGCATCGGGCTTCCTTGGGGATGTTCTTTTATTCTACCCCAAATTATCTTCTCTGACATTGGAGGTATTGTAGTTGACTTAAGTGTTGGGACATGCAAATCAACAGAAGCAGCAACACTTACCGGAATTTGGCCTTTGTTGTTCCCAAACGTCATTTTATCAAAATTAACTACACACCTCCTCGGTAGTAAATAGTCCAACCCTAGTATGCATTGGTCTTCAATATCAGCCAAGTATACTTTGTGTCTGTCCTTCATACCCATGAGCTCAATAGTTACCCACACTGGTCCCCACAACCTTGTGTAATGTCCTGTCACATAGAAACTATGTATGCTTGGCATTTTACACTTAGCTGTTGGAACTTTCACGATGGAGTTTGGTGGGCGTCCCTCAACACCAACCACTACTGGTTTTCCAAAGCTGACTTATTGGTTGTATTCTTCTTACACTGGCTCCTCATATGTCCTTGCTCTCCACAGTTCCAACAACCTTTCTGGGTAGCAGCCTTTCCTGCCGTGGCATCTTCCCTGTGTTGAAGTTGCCGGCATTGAGCTCTCTTGTGCCCAGGTTTGTTACAGTGTCAGTAAAGTCCCTCAAACTTCTCTGAAAGCTGCCCCTTTTCTGGCCTTAAATCCTGATGACTGTACCAACCTTGGAACTTTTGTGCTAGACTTAATGTAGGACTCAAATTCAAGAGCCCTGTCCATTGCATCCTGCATAGTAGAGGGTTGTGCTTGCTTCACTTGTATCTTCAGTTGTGGACTGTCCAAGGCATCTACAAACGGATCCCTCAGCAACAGCTTGAGGACAGCAGGTGGTGCAGTTGGGTAGGCCTTGTGTGCCATACTTTCCAAATTCTGTGCCAGCTCTAGCAGACTCTCTCCTTTAGCACGGACTCTAATCCTAAACCTAGCCCTGTAGACTTCAGACTGATTTCGAGTTCCATACCTGAGTTTTAGAGCAGCTACCAGTGCTCTATAATTGTGGCTGTCGTCCACTGACAACTGTCCAAGTATTTCCAGTGGTTGTCCCTTCAGGCTCGTTGCCAAATACACTGCTTGCTGCTCCTCTGTCCATCCATTCATTTCTGCCAGGAGCTCAAATTGTGCTCTATATGCTTCCCATGGTGCCTTCCCATCGAATTCCTGGGGCTTTCTTCGTACTAGATCACCCCTATTGCTGACATTCATGTCTGGAATGTGACTTTTGGCAGGACTGAAGATGTTTGCATTAGGGTTTAGCTGCTGGGGTCTGGAAGGACTCATCTTGTCTGGGGATAATTAGACCCATAAATATATTCTCCCTGTGTAAAAGACAGTAAATCGTCCTTGAATGTATTTAATTCACTTTACTAACCTTTTCCATTTGTACTTCTTGTTTCCTTTTTTGTTCCAGTTGCCACTGGTGCTGGTTTTCTTGCCACTGCTGTAGTCTCTCTTCTTGTTTATTTTATTTCTCCTTCAACCACTGCTGTAGTCTCTCTTCTTGTTTCTTTTCTTTTTCCTCCAACAACTGCTGTAATATCTCTTCTTCTTTATTTTCTCATTCTTCTTGTTTCTTTCGCTGTTTTTGTATTGCTGCCATCAAATATGCTAAGTCGTAGTTTGATTTGCCACTTATCATTTCCATCTTTTTTCCCCCCTTTTACCACTCTCTGGCACCTATTTGTTAATTTCCAGCAGAAATTATTTTCGAGGAACTTCAGCAATACAACTCCTTTCTTGATTAAACCAGTTTATTCTTTCTCGATACAAACTTTTAGTACACAGTAATTCCACAGTCAGTACATTTCTCGTCACTTTAAACTTAACAACTTTTAATATACACACTATAAATCACAGCGATTAACAATCTCGATAACTTCACTCTCTACGAGTGCAAAACACATACTAGCTCGAAACAGAATCGTAAATTACCCGAAACTCACCGTAACAACTGTTCGCTTAACTTCTGACTTTTCTGCCGGGCTTATATACTAACAAAGAGGCATCTCCAGCATCCGTGGGGTTCCCCAATTATTCGATAAATTTACCACGCATGCTCCCAGAGTCACGTGTCTTCCGCTGTCGTAACGGTATTTGTGGTGACTGTAAGGCCACCTGTGATGGAAAACTTTACAACAATTAAAAATGCTTGCCACATGGGCATCTTGGACAGAAACTTTTAAATCCTCGAGCTTATCTTTCCACATAAACAGTGAAAACCCTAACCACTCTATAAGTGTTGACAATTTGAAAATTATAACCTTGAGTTTCCTCAACCAGACTTTCCCCTTCAAATTATTAATAATAACATGTCAACCACACTACAGTATATCTGCTATACCCAGTTTACTAACACTGAATGAACATTCAAACTATTTTTTTTATTAATAATAACATGTCAACCACACTTCAGTATATCTGCTATATCCAGTTTACTAACACTGAATGAACATTCAAACTTAAACAGCAATCTCAGCTCTATTCAACTATTGCATCATATGTACATATCACGAACTTCTATTTTCTTGTATCAATATAGTATTATTTCAAACTTATCAGTTATTCTGTTTACATGCAGTTTCACGTAACATGTGAGCAAGAAGGTGGTTAAGTTGATTTTGTTCTAACTTCCTTTTTCATTCTCTGGAGATATCACCTGTTCTGCCCATGGAGAGTAACGTTGTAACACTGCGCATTGTGCAACAATACCGACAGCAGTGTCTTCCGATAATCGGTCAAGCCATATCTTAGGCTAATGACCTCCCGTAAGTTTTAATGGAATTAGCAACAATGACTTTAGTGGTGCATACGTCCTGAGATTATAGTATTATATAAGTTGGTCTTCTAGATTTGCTTCAAGTCAACAGTTTCGTAAGAGAAGTTCAAGTCCCTTCAATGATAATAGTAATAATCTTCTCAAGTTAACTTGTAACGTTAACTAATTCCTAGAAAAAAAATCTTAATAAATTATTACGAAAGTTTAGATCGATAACTATAGAAAAAATACGCTGTCCTATACACACATTATTTTGCGTTTGTGAGCTTGAATAAACATTGCTTCATTGTGTTTTTAAACATCTGTGTATTCTTTCTCCTTCAAAGTCAGAAAACTTACTGTGATATACGAGTAATATATCATGTGTAAAGTATGACATTTATTTTTCTACCACCTTTAGTAAAGTGGAGAATTTTGAATTTTTCATGCATTTTGTTTCTATATAGTATTGCCATAAAATACTTGTTCCAAGAAAACCAATTCTAGTGTTGTTTTTGTTTCTCTCATAGATATTAGATAACACTCGCTTGTGGACGTGTACTTTTGCTGGCCGATTGGATAATGCCTGCAAGTCTCAGTTGACGAATATTGTGCAAGATTGACCAGTTACGTTGTGATGTAAACGCAAGCCAAAGAAGCTGAAGTTTCCTGTGTCAGTACAAAACCTATTTTCAAATATCTGCTTGACTTTCACAATGACTGGTTTTGCAGAGATTCATTCAGAGCGAAGAAAAATTGAATATCTAGTCTCCGATACAGTGAAGGCAGTTGTCAACTAGTTTTTTGCTGTTTTTTACGGTATCAAATATGTCTAATTTGGTTATTTCGCATGCAAGTAGAGGTTTCACAGTACTTCATGTATTTTCTGCTCGATCCCACTGTTATTAAGCAAGCAAGATCGATACTTCCGCGGAAATCAGTTATTTAAGAATTCCACATACTTCGTAATAAATATCTTGTTGAACATCTTATTATAAGTGGACCTATTTCATTTTCCCAGAATATACTACACTATATTTAATGTTATTTTTCTCTCGTACACAAATAAACTGACTTATTTTGTTCCATGGATCTTCCAAACCTAGTTATATTTCAATTACCATTTTTTCTTCTGGATATACTTAATACTCTTCCCAGTTTAATGCATGTAATTTGTGTATCATCGTCATTGTACATAATTTTTACAAATTACTGATGATGAAAATTTTACGTTCCGAAACGTTTGGTTAAGTACATTAACGCTCTATGCGGAGGTGCTCCCGTTTTTATTAGACTTCGTTTTTCACCTGGTGAATCTATTGCTTATGTTAACTTATTACTGGAATATCTTAACAATTAACGCCCAAATTTTCGAGCTGAATGTGAACATGATACAATTTTTGATATATAATAATAAAGGCATGTTTTTTACATTGACGCATATCATAAAACGACTTTTTTTGATAATTATATACTCATTTCAATAGTTTTATTCTTATAGCATTTAAAGTCAACTTTGTAAAAGTTTTTGTTAATCAGGATTCCTTGTTGTATGGAGAAATAACTATTATAAAGAAATTTCCCGTAACATAGTAAATTAGTGATTTAATTGATAGTAATATCAGATTAATGGTGAACAAAATGTCCGCTCCTATGTTTTATGCATATGTTTTAAACCTGTTTTGATGATTTGTAATTCACTAAGTTTTCATACCTAATAAGAATCTGACATTTATTAGCTATAAATTTCAATGTTCTGGTTGTGCGGGTGAATAAGTAGGCTCCAACAAAGTACAAACTATTGGCACTCTAAGAACTTCTCCAGTATCACAAATAATTTTCTGATGGTTGTGTTGAAGATGAGAAAGAATTACTAATATGAGATGATAGTCGCGAAACTGTGACAGCTCCTAAACGAAACTTGCTAACATAGTTTCTCAAATTGCAAGCGTATTCCAAAGTTTTAAAACAAAAATGTGCTAGCTTATGTACAAAGATAAAAGTTTTAGTACCATATAAGGTAAAAAATGCATCACAACAACATCAGAGAAATATTTTATTTATTTCAAATAATCACGAAAAATTAGCAAAAAGTAATGTTTAACCATCTCATGTTCTATTAAACACAGAGATTACACAAAAGACTATCAGATTGTCATAATATATAAAATAAAAACAATGCACCTTCACCTACATTTCTGTGGTACACGTGTTAAACACAAGATTATGTACATGAACCAAGACAAGAAATAGGTAAGTCTGTTTTGACGTCAAAAGTTAACATTAGTTAAATTAACTACAAATTTTGAAATAACAAGTGCACTAATACATTGTTCAATTAGTAAAGTTCTCCAATAAAATTATATTCTATGTGAAATATCTTTCAAGTTTTAAATCTGCTAATTATAAACAGGTGGAACAATTTAATTACTTGAAAGAAACACAAAAATTTAACATGAATACTTGACTTTAAGTCATAGCTGTTTTATTGATATTGCAATAATAGTGATCTAGCATTTTCGAAATTTGCCATCATTATTTAGTATAGTTGATAATGTCAATTTATATATATTGACAGTTTGTATAAAGAAAAATATTTAATGTAAGGAGAGTGAAAAGCCATATTACAACCAACGATATAACGAAAAAATATCAGCATGAACAGAAAAGCAACTGCGTATTTCAAAAAAATGGAGGTGTTTTTGAAAACAGATTGTACAAAACACCAATATGTTTTTAATAATAAATATGAGGCTTTCGGGCCACAAAATGCACTTGTTGCTTCAAAATTAATTAGTTGTAGAATAACAACATTAAACACCACAACCAATATCTCACATTTTTTCTAATTACAAAGAAATCAAATGTGCAACAAAAAATGTATGAAGTTCTTGCCAATGTTTTTATAAAATAAGACAGTTATCTACACAAGAATGTAATGAAACATTATAGTCTTTCTTGCGATTTGAAACTTCATAAATAATTCAACCACTTGTAAGCTAGACTTAAATATAGCTTGATTCATACTTAATATCACTCGGAATGATAACCAGATGCCAAACAACTTTACTTTTGTCCTATAACTACTTTGTATTAATTATAATCACATCATACTAACTGGTGTAACTATTTGTATCTCCCATCATTATATTGCAAGCCTCAGTGTTGAAATTGTCTCAATAAAAGTCACAATGATGGCAGTACATCATCACCTCTTATATAATTACTCACATAATACAGTTATATGAACCAAAATAACACTCAGTAAGCCAGTAGATTGGCAACTGGAACATGTATAGGAATATAGCTAACAGCTCACATATTTAAATTATATTAATATGAATTGTTATCCATAACTGTAGCGAGAAGCCAAACATCAAACACTTAAAATAATACTCGGCGACAGATGAACGGACATTACGGAAAAAGGAAGCACTCTCAACTTGAAATTAAAACCAAAGCTGAACAACCAGCTAACAACACCACTGCATCTCAAACCATTATCTATAAATAATTTGTATACTCACAAGAAAAAAAAGGCTTGATACTTAGAGTTAAAAGAAATATATCTACATACTACTACTTAAGACTTCAGAGAAACATATTTCCATGTTAAATATTTAAGACTTCAGAGAGCACTGCATCTCCACATTAAATAAAGTTGGCAAAAGAACTCTAGTATATCACCTAGTATCTTCATTACTCACCCTAAGTAATGTCTGGAACCTAAACTAGATACAAATTAATTGTCAAACAATTCCTGTGACTGGTACAAGGAGATCTCTTATCACAGTTTAGTTGCTTTTTTTTACACAAACATTTTTAACTTGATATGATAATGTGACATAAAAATTCTATAAATGGAGCAAAGATTAGAACACAATTTCCTACCCACAACACATTTGATTTGTAAATATCTTCATCTAGAGGATAATATACAATGACATTAAGCTTTTATTAATATAACCAGTTGTATAACATAATTAATGAATTAAACACATTTAAAAATTTCAAAAAAAGCACACAGCACTTTGTTTTTTTTTTACTTACAAGTTTTTATACAATTCTGGGTCAGAAAATCACCAGTGATTTAGTTTCCAATCCAATTTTATTACCTAGTCATGATGGTCCATTACACAATAGTAAATATTTATATTCAGACAAGGAAAATAAGTATTATTAATGGAAGCCCTTTGAAACAATAATGAAGTGCAGCTCTAAATTTACATTAATTCAAAATTTTCTTCTGCCTTTCAGATTAAAAGAATACTAACAGTAAAAAAAATTAACAAGTCTTCAGCCTACAACAAATGTGAACTAATTGTCACTCTCTCCAAGATAACAGTACAATTTATCATTTTTTTAAATACAGATAAAATTACGTTCCTTTCAGTGATTTACAGAATAGTTACTCTGTAGTTAGGCTGACAACAAAGAATAAGAATGAAAAACTCAAGTCAACATGGCAATTTTTCATAATATATACAAATATTCAGCACACTGAAGCAATTTTTTGGTACTTCAATAGATAACTTTGGAAAAATACACCTGCTAACAGTACAGTTGTAAAATATATTGATTCATAAAGTACAACTGGACCACATAAATGTTTTCAAAAAAAGCAACTGTGCAAACAATTTAAAGTACTTCTGACAATTGTGGTCTGTTTATCTAAACAACTGAATTTAGTTATCAATTAGCAAACTAAAAGTCTTTATACAACACAAAGCCAACATTATATGACATAAGAGAGTCCCTAAATACCACCATGATAGTATTACAGAGTATACAGAATCCCTACACATCAACATATTATTAGAGGGTATACAAAGACAACCCTGTGTACCCCTGAGAAGACAGTCTTACAGGTTAGCGTGAGCCATTCTATATCACCATCACAGTATAAGGTACATGGAGCCCTTCTACACCACCATCACAGTATAACAAGGTACAGAGAGTCCTAAGCAGCATCATAACAATTTCACAATGTACATAAACAGATGTATACCACCGAGACAATATTGCAGAGCATATAAACCCCTTCTACACAACCATAACAGTATCACAGGACACATCAAGCCCTACTACACAACCATGACAGTACCACAGGGTATATACAGTCTCAAGCATCAGAAACAGCATAAAAAGGTAAATAGAATTCTAAGCACCACTGTGATAGTATCACAAAGTACATATAGCCCTAAGCCCCACTGAAACAGTATCACAAGATACATAGAGCCTTAAGCTCCACTGAGACAGTATCACAAGGTACATACATCTCTAAGCACCACCATGACAGTATAACATAAAAAGGCTCTGTGTATCACCAAGACAGTATCACAAGGTACACAGAGCCCTAAACACCATCAATACAACACACCTCCCATGGTTAAAATTTTCTTTCTAAGATGTTTGTGAGCATACATTCCGAGTTTCTAGAAGTTATATGTCTAATGAAAATTATTTATTCACTAGAACTTCTTTAAATTCTCATCACCCATGTACTGCTTCCATCACAAAACTTGAAATTAGTTAGTAAAACGAAGGAGTCGATTATATCAATACCGAGATAATCAAAGTGTAATGTAGAATTTATTCGGAGCAAACTTGGGAAAATTGTTACGTAAAAGAATTATGTTAATGAACACCTCAAATACTCAAACATTCAGTCAATTAAACTAAACAAAATTATCCACAAACCTGGGTTACATCTGCTATGTTATGAAAAGTATTTGTTTTGTTGTAGAAACTTCCGATTCCATTACGTATTTAATGCAGGACTATGGTGAAGTAGACCACAAATCTATACTATATCTGTTATGTCAGGAAAGGTTGTTTGTGATGCAGAAACTCAAGGTACCATTACACAAGTAATGCAGGATTAGTGTGAAATATATCACATCTGCTATGTCAGGAAATGTTTTCCATGATGCAGAGATTCATGCAAAATTATAAAAATTGGTTGCTAACACTGAATAGACAAGAACTAAGGTAAGAAGTACTGTTTTGTTTTTTCCAAACTTTAAGTACAGCAACTGAGGATCTGGAAATCAAACTTTCACTTGCTCTGTGCAGCTGGACAACCACTAATTCAAGAACTGATTTACTAACAGTGTTTAAATAGTGATAGTGCAATGTTTTTAGATCTCTCAAGTACTATGTTGCTCTCAAATGAAACATACAACAAAATAACTGTTAAAGGACAGCCCTATGTTTACCAGTCCCAAAATACTTGAATATTTTCTTGTAAGAAAAAAAAATCACTTACCACTTTTATATCTAATCAATCACCAAAGGCTGTTCTCAAGCATGACTGGTTGAAAAGAATGAGACTGATACAAATAGCCAAAACATGTTGAGGTACACATTTGTAAAAGCTTTGAATTTTTAAATCTCTTTATAATAGATTAAATTACTGGAAGACACATTAAATCCATGTTGTAAATATTTATCTGACCATCCAAAACTATTCAATTAATTTTGTTTTCTTTATAGAATTCATTTTGTTGCATTGTAAACATAATTACCCTACCAATGTGAGCTGCTTTCACTGTTCTAATACCACACAGATTTAGTACGATAAGTCATATTGTCCATAAAATCACAGAAGAAAGTCTGTTTGGTCTGCTACTTCAGTAAGTCAGTGTTCAAGGAAACATAATACATAACCTGACTAGTCATTGCTACTTCTGAAAATCATGTTGTTTATAAAAGTAAATAACTCATCGGTTTTACGGTGACCAATATATCTTGGTTTTTACTGGTAGCCATAAATTCAATCATCATGTTTAATGTGTTTTGTATTGCATACTAAATATCCTTGTTTGTCACATAATGCAGAAAATCACTTCTGATAATGCTTTTTATAAAATGTTATGTTTATATGTGACACATTTTATATTGCATACTAAAAATCCTTGAGTGTCATGTAACGCAGCTTTTTATTATTCATTACGCTTATGTGTAACTTACTTCATATTGCACACCGAGTATCCTTCTTTATAATGTAGTGTGTAGAAGCACTTATGAAAACTCTTTAAAAAACATTAAATGCAGAAATACTGCATCACTGCTCCTAAGAAAGAAACACAATAAACTTTTCTATTCAGACTAATCTACTATATGTTATGTTTACCTCTAACAATATACATTTTTTGTTTGCAAGAACTCCATGATGCACGGCTTTTAATAATAAACGATAATGTCATTAACAGTTATGTTTTGGTTAAGGCTGCAGAAGTAACAAAGTAGGTCAGACTAATGCATTTCACAGATATACAAATTCCAGTTATGATAAAAAAAATACTGAAAATTTCTGAACCAAACTTTTATCTTTTGTTTTTAACCACAACTGTATATGCATAATATAAATATTTGAGAATAAAGTGGATTTAAAAGCTCTTTAAAAAAAATGTATTTTTCAAATTTAGAAGCAGCTAATGTATCCTAAAGATAATTTCAAATTAGAACAACTGAAATTTCCTAAAAATTATATTTTTTATAAATTATAATTTTTTTTAACTTAGTGAATAAAATAAATTATGCTTAAAGAATCAACTTACAGAGAAAAGCAAATAGTAAACACTCATTATGAAGTTTGCCCCCAAATAAGAGAGAAACATTTTAAAAAAAAATCTTTCTGTTACTCTGCTGGATGTCCGTCTTCATTCTTTCAGAGACTTAGTTTTGAAAGAGGACAAATTAAACTCTGTTTTTTTCAACAAAATGTATGGGATAATTAATAATACACTTCCAAGACAATAGCAAATTGTGGATCCAAGACTCCAGTAAGCTGATAAAAAACAAAGCAAACAAATGATAAGCTTTTGTTTTTCTGGGTGTTTTTATTTGTATTTATAATCTAGTGTTCAGCCAATACTTTTATCAGTAGTGACAGTCACAGTTCTTACTGTCAGAACATATCTTCTTTAATCTAAGCATTTGATTGGATGTGATATTGTTGTTGTTGTGTAGAGGGTGACAGCTTTTATTACGTAAGTATTGTGGTTTATCCGTTGATTTTCAGTACAAATTACTATGTATTGATTTGTGCTGAAAACCAAGGGATATGCTCTGACAGTAAGAACTATGACCGTCACATTAATTCTTTGAAACAGACTATGACTGAAAGAGGTTATAAACAAAACACTATCACCCAACAAGTTGACAAAGCTAATAATATACCTCGTAAATCTGCATTGAAACAATTACATAAAACAAATTCTTCTCGTGTTCCACTGGTTATTTCCTCTCACCCAAAACTAAAAAAAACCTATCACAAATAGTAAAAAAAAATACTTTTACCTTCTTCAACTTAATAATCAACTAAAATCCATTTTTTAAAGAAGTTCTTATCATTCCTTTCAAAAAAATAAAACCCAGTATTCACACTTAGTTCATGCTAAAGTCATCCTTGCAATAACAAATGATGCCAACCTGTAAGTTCATGCAGGAAAAACAAATTTTGCAATAAAGACAACCAAAAGCAGTTCAAAATCACTTCTGTTGAACTTAAACAAACCAGGCCTACACAAGTACATTAATAGGGAAACATACAACAGCAGGATCATGCACAGACAATATGCCCATAGATGTCAAAACTCACATCACTATTTACATATACACATATATCAATACAGTAAAACTAGTAAGAATTTATCTTTACCAAATCATCAGCTGGATACCCTACTATTAATGGTATTTTTGGCCTTACATCCGAGAGCACCACATGAAATTCGGATTGCTTAGAAAACGAGATTAGGTCTAACACATGTTACTAAAATAAATGTAGTTGACTTGTAACTTTTGGTATTAGATAAACACAACATGTAAGAACTTGGCATAGTACAGCTTTATGTACAAATCATGTGTATGTTTCAATAACATTTTAGTGAAACAATAAGTAATAAATCAGATTATTCATGAAAATTGTTTCTACTAGATTAGTACTACCATTTTTTTTTAATATTAAAACTTTCTACAAGTATAGAATGTGATCATATTCCACAAAAAAAACCTCCCTATTACAAGAAAAGTGGACATAAAACATTTCCCTCCTCCTCCTCATAGTATAACTAACACAAGTGGTTTGGATGAGTTGAAATTAAACACAATGATACATTAATAAGAAGTTAATATCAGAACAACTGAAATCAATATAAAAAAAAAAATTAAATTACTCCATAATAACTATGTAAAGAAATTATCATACACATTAAAGAATCTTATATCTGATATATAAATAGGGCTTCTAATTTTCAGTTTTAACTGATAATTACTGATAAAACATGCCTAATGCATAAAAATTAAATTGGTGTTTTTCCAATTAAAACTGGAAAAACACTTGAAATACTTATTCAGTTTACTTTACATTAAATTCCCCACTTTCCTGATTTAGCCTTTTCCATTTGGGTTTGTCCATTAGTGGCGTTTTTATAATTCCATATAAAATATTAGCTGCTTCTACAAAACTTTAACATAAACAGAACTATGTTTTGTACCTGTTATTACTTCCATACGAGAATTCAGTGTGCAGAAAATAAACAGTATAAAAGTATACTCATTACAGTAATAAAAGTAATAACTTAAAAAACAAACAAATAGGTTTTAGGGTATCTAAATAAAACTCTAAAACAGCTAAAAATAAACACTGATTAAAAAATAATAATTGCCACAAAACAAAAGCTCTATGTATAAATATATTTATATATACCTATGGATGTTACGAGTGGACCCAGAGCTCTTGCTAATGCTCCTAATGATCTGAATATTCCCAGGACGGTTCCCTTTTGTTCAGTAGAGCCATAAGAAGACACAATGGTTGTAAGACATGGAACTACTGTGGCTGAAGCTATATGCATGATAACATAAAAATGTCTTAGTAACTAGATAAAATCAGCAGAGATATGAAAGTCAAAACAACTTTCTTGTATTCATAGCAATGATAACCAGTTTAATCAGGTTCAAAAATCATATTTAATCCCAATGATCTTGATACTGATATTATATTACAAGTCTAGAACAGAAAAATTCATCAACACCAAAATTGTATTCAGTTTTGGTAAATATATTTTGATCAAATAAATTAAAATCTGATATTTATTCAGAAAAAAAAGTTTAGATTTAATAAATATTTAATGTCTCAAAAGTAAAACATGAAATGAAAGCTTCGTAAAGTTTTATTATATTTAGTATAAAATTTAAAACTTTTTTTGAATGAGAAACATAATTCAAATATTTTTTTTCTCCATAAGGAACTCTTGTATTCATAGTTTAATATGCTAACCATTAGAACAAGCCTTGACCATGACGGAATTAAGAGTTATACAATTACCAATATAAAACACTAAATATTAGGCCAAGCCCAGGTTATTCAAGTATGAAATATTAACAAGACCAATTCTAGCCCATGAGGAAATTATCAAAACAGTCATAAAACTACCAGTATAAAAAATTTTACAAGTTATCTATATAACAAATTCCAGTAGTTCATAAAATTATTGATATGATTCTAGATCATAAGAAACATAAATCTTTATGTTACATTATGACAGGAAATATCCTTACCAAATGAAAAGAGAACGAGACCAACATACAGAACAGCCGGTGACAGTGCAAGCCCCATAATAATGAAGGAAGGAATAATCAAAAGCAAACCCTAGAAAGTAAAGAAATTTATATAAAATAAAAATTAGATAAAGCAGAAAAAACTGAATTAATTAGAGTTAATAATAAAGCTAAAATAACTGGCTTAATCAGTATTTGTGATGTTATATACAACACAAGTACAGCAGACAAAGCTGAAATTGGCTTAATTGAAATTTGAGATGTTATAGACACATTTGGCAGTAGATGCAGCTGAAAGTTAACATATTCCTTACAATAAAAAATATATTTCCGATAGGTACTTATCTCAACTCTCACAAAGCAATCTTGATATTTTTTCTGCCCTCTAAAAAATGTTTGCACTCAGCACCACCAGTCTATATACTTCATCAATTTTGCACCATTTTTGAACATATACATATCACTTGACTACTCTCTATCAATAGTCTTGCACCACCTATATTGGCACAGCTAACTCCCTCTGCTATTCCCGCATAATCCGTACTTTCGAGAATTGGCAGGCTCTAAAAAAAAGAAACCAGGAGGGGGGGAGCGTGTGTGAGTGGAATAATATATACACCTATCGGAAATACATTTTCAGTGTAAGAAAAGTGCTAACTTCCGATACCAGGGAGTCCACTGAATTTTCATTTTCAAGTTCCTTGTATTTGCCCTATTTTATCAGTTTTTTCTTGATAATATTACACAATAATGTCAATATACATATATATATATGTTATATAATTGCAGCCTCCAACCTTCCATCACAGCTGCATCTCCTCCATCAGGACACAATAATGAGACTTAAAATAATTTTTTAATATTTTTTTTACTTCTTTGTGTAACAGGCTAAATAAACTACTAAAACCTTTCCTTTACTAAACAGATTTTTAATGTATTTTACATATCTATTTATTATAGGTTTTGTTTACAAGAATTCTTATTAATTATTCTCTTGAATTTGTTTAAATCTGATGATAGATAAGAAGAAATTGTCATCTGAACTAGGATACCATTTTCTTATGATGTTCCGTATAAAGTGTCCTGCTTAATCTCACAAAGCTTTTCTTCTTATATATCTAAACCTAGGTTTACTAAAGGACTCAGCCTGTTTTACAAACATTTTACTAGTCCAAAACTTTCTTTGTTACAGGGTCCTCAATAACATACGAGTCATACAAAAAAACTTTAAACCAAAACACCATCAGTATCACAGGTAATCCCATTAACTACTGCTGGGGTTCCCTGTATATTTCACATGAAAATAGTGACCTCACTCAACATTTTCTTTTTTACATTTCTTTACAGTGACTGTTATAACAGACAAAAATCTATATAACTAAATGTCAATTCATGTGTATATCTTTTCCTTATACATTGCCACATTTCTTGATCAATCAGCACCAAACTTGACACAGTGATACTGGATAACATGAGGAAGTTCAGTGGTGGAGGGGAGGGGGAATTCAGCCCCCCCTCCCAATTTCATATTGGAGAAACTAACAATGTTGTACATCCCTTAGTATTAGAATGAACTATACAACCACTATTGTTAGAATTCTTGAAAATAGTATGTCTTTACAGTATTGGTATCTTTATGTATTTCTATTGCACTTTTAATGTTTATTACGTTAAGAAAAAAAATAGAAGCACAATTACCTATCTTTTGTCACAAATGAGTTTATATTTTATCTGTCCAACAGATGAAAACTCCAGCTAATATAAAAAACTTAATATGATGTAATATGTGAACCCCATTAAAAGTGAATGCTGTAAAAATAAGTTAGTAATTTGAGGGTTAATTACATAATCTCCAAATACAGAAAAATGGGATTCAAAGACCTTCCTTGCTTATCTCATTTAATATGTCAATTATACAAGAACCATTATGATGAAACATGCAAAGTGAGGTAGGGCTCATTATATATGGTTATGATGCATTAGTCACAGTCATTCTGGAAAAAATCAAACAAGACAAAATTATTCTGAGATTAGCTTAAAATTATAATAAAAAAGTGCAAGAATGTAATAAAAATGTTAAACTTTTACTGCATTTTAATACATATTTTTTTACACTGTTCACACTTGTTCATGAAAATATTTTTATACAAAACTATTCCTTTTTAAATCTGCCCCATTTAATAAAAACAATTAAAATATTACCTATTGCTAAACCAAAAATAATACTAAAAAGGGATGAATTGATATTTAAAAAGTTTGAAAAGACTAATTCAGTACCATAAATGATCAGGCTGTAAACTTACCATTACAGCTTTACTAGGTTCTTGTCCTGGGGGTATTCTCCGTACATAACCACCTGATTAAATAATAGTATTGTCAAAAAATATACAACTCAAATTTAGTACTTTCATATAAGTATCAAAATAAGATATTTAAATCACTTCTTAACAAAATTATCTCATTCCAAAAGTAATGATCAGTAAAACTATAGTCCTTGAATCACACCAAAAACTCCCATACTTTCTTTTACATTGAAATGTATAAAAAGTAATGATAAAAATGATTTAAATGTAAATACACATACACAGGAAACATGAAAAAATTAGCTATAGAAGTACAAAATCTCAGGAAGATTGATGAAAAGCAAATGAAGAAATTAGATGTGAATAGGTCATGTATGACTCCAAATTCTGACGAAGTTGTGATGAAAAGGAAATGAAGAAATTAGATGCGAATAGGTCACACATGACTCACAAAAACTACATTGTACTTCATAATACAAATATCTCAAGTTGGTCACAGGATATAAGTAGGTCACAAATGTCTGAAATAATACATTCTACTTGATAATAAAAACTGCTTCAAACCTGGGTAAAATATGGGTGTATCAGAGGTGAACTAGATTTAAATAGGTTCCTCATAACTCAAAAGACTTACTCTGGAAACTTCTCAGGTTTTTCAGAATTTTTGGAATAAGATGTAGTGAGCAGACCCAAAATGAACATACTTTACAGGTAGTTCACAACCTTGGGAAGGAAATAGATTAAAACTGGAGGCTAGATAGAACCACCAATGTATACTTATGGAAAAGGAATATATTCCAAAAATAGAGAATGTTACATACAAGCCCAAAGAACTGTCTCGATATTTAGAAAAGGATGTTATAATTTAACCATTTTCTTAAAGCATGTAGAAAGAGAAAGTACAGAAAAAATAACCTAAAAAAAAAGAGGAAAAATGACAATATAGTTGTGAATCCCTGAACAGTTAATAGATTTGCAATTAAAAATTCTGGTTTACCACCGAGAATAAAAAAATCCTGAAATATTTAATTCAGTTATAATATTAGTGGGTTACTTTAGAAGTAATGAGAACAATATGATATGAATACCTTGTACGAGAGCCATGACTGTGCCACTGAAAAGATACATGCGTCCCTGCTGCATTCTTAGGGAAGATAAAATATACTTATAAATAAATAAATAAATATATATATACATACACACCCCAAACACATATATATTCTTTTACATATTAAAACAGATTTAAAATTTTATTGTTTGTTTTATTATTTTTTCCTACTTTACAATAGGAATTTTCTATCAACAAAATACAGATGACATGACTAAATTTGTAGAAATGGATAACATTTACACAAACTTCTTTCTGTTTTCAATGTTACTGTTCTAATACACATTGGATGATCTTATTTTAAAAAAATTGAAAATATAAAATGGATCCTAACTTAAATTTAACTTAAAATTCACTCCTGAAGAAACCAAAATAAAAACTATAAAATAATTTCAAAGGATGAATGTATTAATATCACACACAGTAAAACAAGGAAACACCAAGAAAGATACTAGAATAGTTGTAGTGCAATTTATGAATAGGCAACTCAGACGTAAATAATGGATTGAAAAAGGGATAATGAAAGTAATTAAAACAAATGACAATAATGAGCATTAAAAATATCTTATGTTTATAAGCAAACATCTTGTACCCAAACTGAAAAACCCTTGTTTCAAACAACAACAACAAAAAAACTGTTATAAATAGTTATTTGGATAAATAAAAAAAAAATCCTTGTGAGAAAATTGGAAAATGAAAAGATAGTAAGAAAAACTGAACAAGATTTAAGTAAACTGTCAAATACATTTTCAAACCATAATAGATTAAATATTTTTAGCAGCTCATAGAATGGCTCTGAGTTTGTTTTTTCAAGTACAAACTTTTAACTCATAGCTCCATCATCTTTAGACCAATTTGAGATATAATTACAGTTTGATTCAGGAGGTCAAACCCTTTCAATTGATATATTTGACCATACCCAAAGTCTCATACATTAATTTATTCTAATCCTGCTAAAAAGAATTTCAATTTGAGGGTAGGCTAGTAGAGATCCTGATAAGTAATAAACTTGAATCGGGTGTACATGCGCCCCATGCTTGGTATTGCTGGTGTACAAAAATATAGCTAATAAAAAGGGAAACAAAGGTCTCAGAGATTAATTTACCCTGATCCTGCCTAAAGGAATTTCAAGTGTCGTGACTTTTGAGGATTCCCTATTGTTCATTAAATTTAGTAATTCGAAAATCCTTAGAACAGTTGTTTTTCATGCTTAAGAATAATTAATGTATTACCAATAAAGGTACATAGTTTAAATAAGAATTTTGTATACTTACAACCAATTTCACAAAAATATTCTCCTTACAAAAACTTTAGTAGAGAAAAAGTTAAACTTAACATATACCAGGATATAACAATACTATAAAGTTAGAAACTATAATAAATCTGGAGCTATGTTACTCTCTAAGTAACTGTACAAAAAGTAATTAAATAATTTGATTCATCTGAAGTAGTAAGTACAGTATACCCTTACTATATGGAAACGTTTTACATGGAAATTCATTTTTAAGGAGTTTTGAATCTCTAACTTATAAATTGTTAATTTTACTAGCCAACAAAACCCACGCAAGGGTTTTTTTGCTATAAAATTTTATTGTTGTTCTTGCTTCATCTGATAAGGTTTCTAATATTATTACCTTGCCTCCATGGTCACTGTTTGCAAATGTATTGCCCCTCCTTTTCCCTCCCAATAACTTCCCCACATCTCCCTGCAAAACTACCTCACACAGCAATAACCACAACCTCTGGTAACTCTTGAAAATATCATTGCATATCATTTTTATTTCTATGCCTTATTTTTAATAATAATAATATTTGTTCATAACATTATCAAAATAATATTACATATGTGTTTAAAACAGGTTTTCTATGTTTTAAAATGTTTTCTGTAGGAATGCATCTCCAACTACGTATATATTAGGAGTCTATGGGAAAACAGGTTTTCCTGTGAGGAACTTCACTATATGGCAACTTTTCATCTATTACATATATTGAGGGATAGGTGTATACTTTGTACATATAAAATTAAAAGGTTCAATATCGTATCAATTTAGAAGTTACATAATAAAAGTACACACTTATATCACACAACTTCAAAGTCTTATAATTGAAAATAGAATGACAAATGTGTATGTTACAGGAGACAAATATAAGTTCTTAAGATAATATTGTTAAAATATAAATATCCTAATTGCTTTTAGGTTTTATTCTTGTGTATATTCTACTACTAGAGAACAGTTCAATTCATGTTTTGATCATATTTTAATTAGAAGAGACAAACTGGACTCAATACTAATAGCAGTTATAAAAACTAGAATTATAGATCATTTTACTATAGCTTTAAAAATTAACCTAAAAAAATACTAGTGTAAATAATAATTATAATATATTAAATAATAATGAAATGTAAAAAAACAAACAATTATAATAAAAATTTATATATTAATAAAACAAGTGAATTTTAGAAGCAGTTATCAAAATATGTATAAAATGTACTTATTAAATCATCTATAACATATGTAAAAAAAACACAAAAAAACTGAAAAACGGATGACAAATGTATTGCTAAGATCTATACAACACGGAAATTAAATTATAGCAAAATAACAAAATATCAACTCATAATGAATTTGTTGTATCAAAAAATTAGAAATTGTCTAAGTAGTCTCCTGCAACAAACAAAAATAAATTACTATTAGCAAAAATTATTTGAGACTAAAGCTAATATTAAAAACTAATGGAATATAATAATCAGAATCACTGGAAGCAAGTCACAAATTTCAAAGCATTTAAGTAGATAATAGGAATATTATATTTAAAAAACAACTACTTAAATTACATGAAAATTCTTTTAATGGATTTTTTATAAAGAGTACAAAGGAAACTTTTAATTTAAGTATAAATAACTTATAAATATGATATTTTAAAAATATATAATTGTAAATTAAATGTGCTGACATCAACTGACAAAACTAAGAAAAAAAAGGAAAATCTGCAAGTAAAAAACAAAATAAAAGCAGAAATTTTAAAACATAATAATGATAAATTAACACCAACAATAGCATTTAGATAATATGCCACTGAAAATATGCATTTTTCCAGACATTATAAAATATGTTATAATTATACAAAAATATAAAGAAGGTACTGAAAGTATCCTAAGTAATTATAAACCAATTGCTTTAATATTAGTATGATAACAAAGAATACATTTGGTAAATTTAATTATACTACCACTAAATTAATTATATATTCATAACACATAAACCAGATTGAAGAAAGACATGTAGATTGGCAAAAATAGAATTAATATACAAAATAAGAGCTGAAAATCTTGGTAATTTACAAATATCTAAAACAAAAAAGGATGAATATATAAAGTCTTATTTGTATCAAGCATTAAAACTTTATAGTAATATTCTAAATAAAATTAAATCATTATTTAGTGGTATATATATATATATATATATTATATGTATTAAATCAGCATTGAAGATAAGGATAACAGACCTTGGTGAAACTGTTAGTGTATTTACCATATTTTTATGAACTTAAATTAAAACACTATGAATATCTATAATATAAATTAATAACAGTAAATATGTATAATGTAAACTTAAATTCTTGTATTTAATATATATTATAAATACTCATTACAGTTAGCTTTACTTTATAAAGCCATCATGATCCACAATCCAGAAAACTTGTAAATTATAATGTGTCTTGTAAATTTTTTTCTACATTTCAGTAGTTTCTTGAAAAAAAGAAATGCATATATACAACCAACATAGTGGCTAAACTAACTCAAAATGTTTTAGCTATACAGGAAAAAAATCTTACCCACACCAAACAATGTTAAAGAAAACTGTAAAACTTTTTTATTGTACACAATAAAATAAATAGGCATGAATGATCCACATGATGCTTTTGTAACAGTCATAACTAAAAAAGTTGATTATGATTTATTATAATAGAAAACATATTTTCAAAATTTAATGTTTTAAGTGTTAATAAGCTATTAATACAAATAAACACAACTATATAATAATTTTATTTTAGCATAACTAAGTGAATTATAGTTCAAAAAAGATTTACAAAAGTTAGTTTAAAATGTTAACAAGTTACTGATACAGATAAACAAACTCATATAGCTGTCTTGCACGTTTTGTGGAATTAGTGTTAATTTCTGGAAAGTTTTACTGTATGTAATTCTTTTACTTCAATCTTTTAAAGATGTACCTGGAAGTTTGAACATTAATTAAGAATTAAAGATATGAAACACTTAGTTATCTTTAACTATCTAAAGATATATTTATTTACTTCATTTGTTAAACACAATGTTTAAAACTCCAATAGTTGTAGGAACCTTAACCTTCACCAAGGACTGTTTTGACACAAATCCCACCTCACATTGTTCTTTTCAGAAAGGGTCAAGCACTTCACAAGGCATCTACAGGTAACCCTGAATGTCTTGAGGGTGTAAAATGAACACAAAAGTAAAATGCAGGTTATGTAAGTCAAGGAAACAAAAATATATTTCGAGTCACAAATAACTAACCATGATTATCAAAGAACATAATATTAAATATACCCCTCCTTACCTTGTATAGTTAAACCTCAGATGAGTCATAAAAGTAAGAGAATATTCCAGCCCCGAATATATAAATAGGTAAAGGAAATATATCAGGCCAGTACGCTGGAGTAAGCCTAAATCTGAAAAAATCAGTTTACAATCTTGATAACAAAATAAAACGAACTACATGCAGTTCAGCACAGATAATACAAAAAAACTGCACTTAAGCTAAATATGAACAAGTACTGAAAAATTCCAGTATGGTTTGATAATTATGGTCTTTTGGAAATTATTCTCAGCAATATAATGCAAAAGAAATTTTAATCTACTAGAAAACAGTTTTGTAGCTACAGTAGCAACTGTGTAAAAGATAAGATTCATGCAGTGATGTATCACTAGACTTCAACAATAGCTATGTAAAAATTCTGATGGGTTGGTAAGGCAATGTACACATCTAACATGAAAATACCGCTGTCACACATAAGAAAAAGATTCAGCACCATTTGTGCTAAACATTAGCAATTGTAGTTCTAACTAAGAGTTGGCATTTGATCAACTGACATTTCAGGCTAGTTAATTAGTTTACAACACAATTAGAATACAGACCAAAAAAAGAACATTAGAACTTGTTTAACTTTTTTTGCTTTTGCACAGTAGTAAGATTGTGTGAAAAAGGACTTTAATTTAGTCCCCTCAATATGTCAGCAGTAAGTAAGTTACAACATTAACCCATTTACTGCTGATTCACTGTATAAGGTACGG